GGGACAGACTGTGGTCATCACACAGACTGTGGGACAGACTGTGGTCATCAGACAGACCTGGACAGACTGTGGCCATCAGACAGACTGTGGGACAGACTGTGGTCATCACACAGACTGTGGGACAGACTGTGGCCATCAGACAGACCTGGACAGACTGTGGCCATCAGACAGACTTTGGGACAGACTGTGGTCATCAGACAGACCTGGACAGACTGTGGTCATCAGACAGACCTGGACAGACTGTCGTCATCAGACAGACCTGGACAGACTGTGGTCATCAGACAGACCTGGACAGACTGTGGCCATCAGACAGACTGTGGGACAGACTGTGGTCATCACACAGACTGTGGGACAGACTGTGGCCATCAGACAGACCTGGACAGACTGTGGGACAGACTGTGGTCATCAGACAGACCTGGACAGACTGTGGTCATCAGACAGACCTGGACAGACTGTGGTCATCAGACAGACCTGGACAGAATGTGGTCATCAGACAGACTGTGGGACAGACTGTGGTCATCAGACAGACTGTGGGACAGACTGTGGTCATCAGACAGACCTGGACAGACTGTGGCCATCAGACAGACTGTGGGACAGACTGTGGTCATCAGACAGACCTGGACAGACTGTGGTCATCAGACAGACCTGGACAGACTGTGGTCATCAGACAGACCTGGACAGACTGTGGCCATCAGACAGACCTGGACAGACTGTGGTCATCAGACAGACTGTGGGACAGACTTTGGGACAGACTGTGGTCATCAGACAGACCTGGACAGACTGTCGTCATCAGACAGACCTGGACAGACTGTGGTCATCAGACAGACCTGGACAGACTGTGGGACAGACTGTGGTCATCAGACAGACCTGGACAGACTGTGGTCATCAGACAGACCTGGACAGACTGTGGTCATCAGACAGACCTGGACAGACTGTGGTCATCAGACAGACCTGGACAGACTGTGGGACAGACTGTGGTCATCAGACAGACCTGGACAGACTGTGGGACAGACTGTTGGACAGACTGTGGTCATCACAGTCGTAAATAAAGCGTGAGTAATCTCTTATAAATTTTCTGGTATATTCTTAGATTACCAGTAGTCGCTCAAAATTTCAGACAAAATTATGTATTCGTTATAACACTTATATATATATATATATATATATATATATATATATATATATATATATATATATATATATATATATATATATATATATATATATATATATATATAATTCTGTCAAACTAACTCAAGCGGACTCAAGTTGATGTGTTTACATACACAAAGACGAACAGACAGACGGACAGGATTGCATAAGTAAATTTTTCGTGTTTGGGGGAGGTTGTAAAAATTAGTTAAAATCTCGATTTATATTTTTCGCAAGATTGCTATACATCCTATGTTAAAGTAGGGAGGTGTAAAACCGAGAAAACTCAAAATTTCATTCAATTTGTGTGCACGATAGTTACTTCCTAGATCTATATACGCTAAATATGAAAAAGTATTAAGACTCGTGTTTAACTATGTCGTTATTTAAACGTCAAAGTTTGCATTTCTGTACTTTACTGATACACTTAGGCTAGCAGCCCAGAAGTTTACTTTAATAGTCTCAAGTAGGCTTGCACGTTTTACTTGATCTAAATGACAACCGACACTCGATGTTTTTAATTTCTCGAATACGAAGTACAGAAAAAGTTTTGGAAACGTGCAAAAAAAAAGCGTTGACGCTTTACACCTCCCTGAGTCGGAAAAATTTAGTTTTTCAATTTTGTCTGCATGCCTGTCTGTGAACATGATAACTTGATTATGTTGTTGACGAAATTTCATATGGTATCAAATTTGTAGTTCTGTATCAACGTTTGAGCGATTCTCTCAAAACACAATAACTTGATTCCAATTAAAATAGGTGGATAAAATTGTATATAGATCTATAAGTATTATATTGTATGCGCATATTTTTGTTAAATTTTGAACGACTTTCGGAAATCGGAAGTGGTACTTTACTAAATTTCCGTGTGAACAATATAACTTGAGGACTGTTTCAGTTAGGTAGACGAAATTTCATATATAAGTATAAGATCTTATACTTATATACAAACTTATACAACAAACGGAAGTTGTACCTTAATCTATTTCTGGTTTCTAAAATACCGATAACGTGTGTGCCGTTTCTGTCAAATTTCGAGTGATTTTCGGTGAACGTAAGTATTCCTTGACGCTATTTGCTATTTCTTTTCTGAAAGAAGTATCACTTATTCCGGACCGATTTTTTCGAAACTTTTCACGTAAGTCTAGACTTGATGATAATGCACTGTGATATTAAATTTGGCTTAATTAGATGTTTAATTAATTTTAAAAATATCGATATTTCCTTTATAAGGCACACATTTTTGGTTTTATTTGACACACATTGTTATTTTCATTTGTTGCGCAATTCTTATTTCTACGCGACTCTATATTTATAAAATGTAATATGCGAGATCACTCCCGCTTTATTTATTTGAGCAACGTGATTGGGTTGGATGTGGGTTTTCAAGTTGATGAACTGTAGATATATTTGTAACACTACACGAGGTTACATTATCAAAAGGTTCAATTGGAACAAATGAATAGCTGACAAGAGATTTATTATTTGATGATGGATGATTATAATGTGAATGTATTGTAATTGGGTCGTACAGCGAAGAAAGAATTGTATTGCCACACAACCACGCCACACAAAACCACATGCTATTTTTATGCCAAGCTATTTAAAATTATCAACAACAAAAAGTAAACAAAGCCTAAGTGGTTTACCGGAAATGGGCCAAAAACAGACGCGAAATGTAAATATACAGGAATGTTATTGTTAACAGAATTGAGTCATATGAAATCTTATTTTGTGGAATTTTTCACGAATCAAACAATACATGACGAAATGGGTAAACAAAAAGTAAAATAAAATCATCTCTGTTAAGTGCTATGATGATTTTTGCAAAGGTTTATGTAATAAATAAAATAGGCCCATCGACTCGTGTATAAAGCTAACAAAGAGAAAAAGTGGAATGAATGGTTACACCCACAAATAAAGCCATCGTTTAGCCCAGCTTTAGCGCTCGCCGTGCCCATGTAAGCCGGTGTCACCACGCAATCTGCAGCCTTTGTTTCGTTAGATTACATAACTTTGCTGAGAGCTTTTTTAATGTTATGAGATGTGAGCATTCACAGAACCGTTTGTATTTTAAATTTAGCTGGGAGATTAGTTCTCTATGAGACGTAAACATTAATAGAACCGTTTGTATTTTAAATTTAGCTGGGAGATAAGTTCTGTATAAAGATCAATATTTCTCTATGTTTGTTAAATGTGTAAACAAACGAAAAGTCAACCAAACAGAAAGATCCAACAGCAATTGAATTCACCAACTTTAAAAAGTAACAGGACTACGCATAAATTATGTCAATTAAGGGGCAGTTAGAGAGATTATTTTTGTATTGAGCTGGTTGGAAAGGACTTACCTGCGGCTTAGTCAACGTACAAACGTACAGGTGTAACAACAGACTAACTTCTGATAGTCCGAACTTTTAAGCCTTCTTTTCGGCATTAGCCTCTCGGGGGGTACAGGTTTTACTCATTCCAATAGTCTACATTTTTGCAATAATTATTTAAACTTAGACTGTTTGCGGGTTTTGAATGACACTTTTTCTGGGAAATTCTTTCAAAATAAATTACTTTGAAAACTCTGACTTATTGAAAATATCATCAGGGTGTACATCTTACGTAACCGTAACATCTGACTATTGTCACACGGCACCAATACTAGCTGGACCCTTGACCACATAGTACACTAGCAAACAGTTACAAAGCGCCGTTCTAGCTATTCTATCAATGTTGGACTAATTCATTCATTGATTGCAGGTATTGACATAATTTATGCGAGCCATTGGGAGAGCTCGAGCCAGAATTCACACTCTTATTATATTCAAGGTATGCAGTACTGACACTCCATCATGTTTTTGTTTTAAGGAAACTTTCGGTATTTGTCTCGTGCTTACACATTAAAGAGCACGTCATACGACAACCTGACGACAGCCGCTAAACAAGACAATCAATGGACAGCAAAAAAAAACAACTATAAAGAAAGACTAAGAAACGACCAAACTACGAGACGACCAAACTACAAAACTACCAAACTACGTGACGACCAAACTACGTGACGACCAAACTACAAAACGACCAAACTACGTGACGACCAAACTACGTGACGACCAAACTACAAAACGACCAAACTACGTGACGACCAAACTACAAAACGACCAAACTACGTGACGACCAAACTACAAAACGACCAAACTACGTGACGACCAAACTACAAAACGACCAAACTACGTGACGACCAAACTACAAAACGACCGAACTACGTGACGACCAAACTACGTGACGACCAAACTACGTGACGACCAAACTACAAAACGACCAAACTACGTGATGACCAAACTACAAAACGACCAAACTAGGTGACGACCAAACTACGTGACGACCAAACTACAAAACGACCAAACTACGTGACGACCAAACTACAAAACAACCAAACTACCTGACGACCAAATTACAAAACGACGGAACTACGTGACGACCAAACTACATGACGATCAAACTACTTGACGACCAAACTACTTGACGACCAAACTACAAAACGACCAAACTACAAAACGACCAAACTACAAAACGACCAAACTACAAAGCCACCAAACTACAAAACAACCAAACTACGTGACGACGAAACATCGTGAAGACCAAACTACAAAACGACCAAACTACCTGACGACCAAACTACATGACGAAGAATCTTCGTGACGACCAAACTACTTGACGACCAAACTACAAAACGACCAAACTACCTGACGACCAAACTACATGACGAAGAATCTTCGTGACGACCAAACTACGAGCCCACAAAAAAAACCGTGACTTCTCACCCCGCTCTCCCGCCTAGAGTGAACCGCAGGCACACTCACCTCGTTTCGACTCACCTACACTCCTAGAGAAGGGAATTGAGAATCGGTGCAGCAGTGATTGCGGCTCTATAGGGGGTAAACACATCTTAATTTACATGCTAATCAAACAGTAGTGATGGCTCTATAGGAAGTAAACACATCTTAATTTACATGCTAATCAAACAGTAGTGATGGCTCTATAGGAAGTAAACACATCTTAATTTACATGCTAATCAAACAGTAGTGATGGCTCTATAGGGGGTAAACACATCTTAATTTACATGCTAATCAAACAGTAGTGATGGCGGCTCTATAGGTGGTAAACACATCTTAATTAACATGCTAATCAAACAGTAGTGATGGCGGCTCTATAGGGGGTAAACACATCTTAATTAACATGCTAATCAAACAGTAGTGATACATATCTTCGTTTACACGCTAATCAAACATCAGACCACTGTAGACTTGAAGTCTACTACAAACTGTAGACCAGCGTTTATCAACTTTTTTTTGGCTTATCCCCCACAAAGTCTTCAAATATTCTTACACCCCCCCCCCCCCCCTTCCCCCGTCTCTTATCAACCGTTATTTTTAATATTCAAAAAGATCGAAATATATACATGAGAAACCTGAAAGATAGATCACTGGAAAATTTATAGAAAGAACACTCTAAGTAAATTTAAAAAAAAAAATAACGTAATGGAGAACTAAAATTCATAACAAAAAATTAATTAAAATGAAAGATGGTTCAAAGTATTTTTATTTAATCTTTAATTAAATTATTTTAAAATGGTTGCGCTCGATGCTTAGCTATTTTATGTCATGGTCCAATTTAGTTACCTGAAGGCTTTAATTCCCCCCGTTTTTACTTTCTCGTATATACGAAGTATAGAGGAAATATTGTAATCGTGAAAAAAAGTCGAAATCGATATTTTCACAAATTTTGACGTTTTACACGTCCCTAAGTAGGAAAAACACAATTTTGCAATTTTGTCTGTAGGTCTGTGTGTATGTATGTATGTGTTTCTGCCAACACGATAACTTGAGTACTGTTACAGCTAGGTTAATGAAATTTCAAATCTAAGTATTATATCAAATTTGTAGATCTGTATCATCTTTTCAGCGATTTCCGATAACCGAAAATGGAACTTTTTCTACTTTCAATTTTTCAAAAGCCTAAAACATGAGTACTATTTCAGATAGATAAATGAAATTTAACACGTAAGTAAAAGATCTAATTCTCTGCGTTCTGTAAAATTTTCAGTAACTTCCTATGACCGGAAGTAGTAATTTACGCTTTTTCGATTTCGCAAAAAAAAGCATTTGAATTTATAAAGTACTAATAATATTCCATACAATTATACACATTTTGTTTGGCGTTCACATTGTGCGCACTTCTTTTTTTTCTATGAGATTCTATTCTATTTTTAAAAATTTAAGTAATTAAAAATGGATTTAAACTATTGTCTATTTCCCGAGTTGCCATCCCCCGTAGTGCCATATAAGAATGGGAGCCGGACGTTTTCCCGAAAGGACACTTGCCCGAATGCGACAAATGCCCGAAAGGACACTTGTCCGAATGCAACAAATGCCCTAAAGGACACTTGCCCGAATGCGACAAATGCCCGAAAGGACACTTGCCCGAATGCGACAAATGCCCTAAAGGACACTTGCCCGAATGCGACAAATGCCCGAAAGGACACTTGCCCGAATGCGACAAATGCCCTAAAGGACACTTGCCCGAATGCGACAAATGCCCTAAAGGACACTTGCCCGAATGCGACAAATGCCCGAAAGGACACTTGCCCGAATGCGACAAATGCCCGAATGGACACTTGTCCGAATGCGACAAATGCCCGAATGGACACTTGCCCGAATGCGACAACTGCCCAAATGCCACTTACCCGAAGGCCGTTTGCACAAAAAATGATAATGTTAGATAGTAAATAATATTACCGAATAGACTTCCTTATTAATCAATTGCAGTTTAAATTTTTTCTCATAAACACAATAGGCGATATTGCTACGCATAGTGGCCACCCCTGCCGCTAGGTGGCGACACGATGATGTAGGTTATTATCAAAGCACAACAATCAATAAACCTCTATCGACTTGACTCTATTTATCTATAATGGATAGCTTTTCAAGTGCGTTTTAATTATTTTATAAAGTGTATAAGACTGAAAAATTCCAGCAAATTGCTCTGTACCAAAGCGTCGTGGAAAAGGTGGACACTTATTCCCCAAAAATAAAGAGCTTCGTTCAAAATGGATCGCAGCTATCAGACGGGAGAAACCTGATCATGGCAAGTGGGAACCATCAAAGAAGTCTACTGTCTGTAAAAGACATCTTAAAGAAGAGGATTTTAAGAGTGATACCACTTTTGCAACAGGTAAATTTACCACCTAACTTAATTTACAATATAATATAGGCCTATCTAGAGATCTAGTATTGGACAGTATTAGTAGTAGATCTAGTAGACTAGATCTAGTAGTTGTCGTCATTGCATTAATTCTGTCTAATACTAGATATCTAGATCTAATTCTAATCATTCTAATACAAAAATATGGCTTAATATGGCCTAGGTGTTATATATATGCCAGAATCGTAACCCTTGAACAAAGTGTTGCCTGTAGTAATCCTATGACCAAGAGGTACTCTTAGTGTAATCACAAATCGTAGTCTTACATCTCTATCTAGACTATGTCTACTATTACCACACTATAATTAATATTAATAGTTATATTAATTGTATGTTACAATTTTTATTTCAGGCAATCCCAGATTTTTAAATGTTTAAAAAAGATGGCAGTGCCATCTGTTTTTGATTGGACAATATCCCCCAAGACACATGAAGTGGCCATAAAAAGAAGGCTATTAAAGCGACAAAAAAGGACAGAAACTGTGCAACCACACCAAAAGAACAACATTACTGTGGTGAAATGTGTCTTGGGCGAAGGATCAACAGTTGAATCGTCAGAAATGGTTGTGTGCAACCTAGACATTGGGGCTGAAGAAATTGTTGGTGAGTTCTGTGAAGACCCAGGTCCAGAAGTAATAGCTATTGGGTGCAGTAATACCACAGAAGATGAGACAAATGTATTAGAAGGATCAGTTAAACGTTATCTTTCATTTGAAAGGATAAAGGACAATGACAAACTTGTCAATCACTACACTGGCTTGGACAGTACAGCAACATTTTCACTGTGTTGTGGTCATTGGGGAGAGGGGTTGATAAATTAAATTACATTTATACTCAGTCTTGTGAATGTCTGTGTACACATGACTAATTTTTATTCATGTTAGTTAGATTAAGGCACCATTACCCTGTAATTGAACTTGCTAGAATGTTTGATATTTCCAGCATAAAAACAAAGTTGATTATATTTTTTAAATGTAGCTTTGATTTTTTTTTAAACTGAGACATTTCTGTAAAAAATTGTTACTCTTTATTAAATGTAAGCGACGGTGACTTTATATTCTTTTGATGAATGTTTTGAACACCTTGTTTAGCCGTCGTGTTGTGGTGGTTATACAGCACGTATGATATGGTGTAGGCGGCGCGGCGTCTCGCACAATTGAACAGAAGCGCGTTTGTTTATCTTGTTATGCTTAGCTTGTCTGGTAACTATTTCACAACAGAACGAGGCGCGGACTAGGCAGCGAATTTAAAAACTAAAGGTAGTCACATATGTTTGATCTCCATTTAATGCACCTTGTTTAAACAATGTGTTAAAGCGATTAGTTAATAAAGAAAGCAAAATTCGTTTTAAAATCCTGAGATATAATAGAAGGGTATTTTTGTCTTATTTCTTAGATGAAAGAGAAAGTATGTCTCTACACTTTATACAGCAAATACGAATTAATTAAGAATGTCTGAGGGGTAAGATAATAATATAATATTATTTCTTTTCTTTCTTTTTGCGTAAATATGTTTTGTTTATCAACATTTAAAATTTAAATTCATTACGAATGATTATTTGGTAATATATAAATATAAACATTTTTCGGGCAAACGGCCTTCGGGCAAGTGGACTTAGGGCATTTGTCACATTCGGGCAAGTGTCCATTCGGGCATTTGTCGCATTCGGGCAAGTGTCCATTCGGGCATTTGTCGCATTCGGGCAAGTGTCCATTTGGGCGTTTGTCGCATTCGGGCAAGTGTCCATTAGGGCATTTGTCGCATTCGGGCAAGTGTCCATTCGGGCATTTGTCGCATTCGGGCAAGTGTCCATTTGGACGTTTGTCGCATTCGGGCAAGTGTCCATTCGGACATTTGTCGCATTCGGGCAAGAGTGCATTCGGGAAATCGGCCTTCGGGCAAACGGCATTCGGGAATTTGTCGTATACCCATAAGAATATTCGAGAAAGTTTAGGGGAGATCACTGCCGGTTTATTTATCTAACTTTTTTTCATCAAACATCTCATCTTACTTTTTTAAATCTTACATTTTTATCATCGTTAAGTCCCTAACATTTTACAAAATAACGTTTGAAACCCTTCTTGTTTGGGTACATCAGCTTTGACCAGTGGCGTCCCTAGTGATTAAGTGAGGCCAGCCCCCCGCCCTACCCTAACAGCTACACCTCTGGTATTTGTCCTAGGTTCCACCCTACTAGTGACTCATGTTCTAGACTCTGCAGGGGTCTCCAAACTACGACCCGCGGGCCGGATGCGGCCCGCTAAGTCATCTGATCCGGCCCGCGGAGATTTTTTTGTCCAAGGAAAAATCGTTTGTTGGTGATGGCTGAGGAACTTTGCCCAGAAAAATCAAAGACATGCCTGGAAGAAACTAGCCCCCGAACTGAAATTTGATAGTTAATGCGGCCCTCGGGCTGAAAAGTTTGGAGACCCCTGCCAGACCAACAATTGTGTGCTTCTGATGGAGGCTATATATATTGTCATATAAGTCTAGCCTGGCTTAAGTCAGGAGAACTAATGGAGTGTGACTTAAGTCAGGAGAACTAATGCAGTGTGACTTAAGTCAGAAGAACTAATGGAGTGTGACTTAAGTCATGAGAACTAATGCAGTGTGACTTAAGTCAGGAGAACTAATGGAGTGTGACTTAAGTCAGGAGAACTAATGCAGTGTGGCTTAAGTCAGGAGAACTAATGGAGTGTGACTTAAGTCATGAGAACTAATGGAGTGTGACTTAAGTCAGGAGAACTAATGCAGTGTGGCTTAAGTCAGAAGAACTAATGGAGTGTGACTTAAGTCAGAAGAACTAATGGAATGTGACTTAAGACAGAAGAACTAATGGAGTGTGACTTAAGTCAGGAGAACTAATGGAGTGTGACTTAAGTCAGGAGAACTAATGGAGTGTGACTTAAGACAGAAGAACTAATGGAGTGTGACTTAAGACAGGAGAACTAATGGAGTGTGACTTAAGTCAGGAGAACTAATGGAGTGTGGCTTAAGTCAGGAGAACTAATGGAGTGTGACTTAAGTCAGGAGAACTTAGGAGAACTAATGGTTACGTTTCAAAACTCACCAGAAAAACAACTTCAAAACAATGAACAGAACTGTCTGTAAGTTTTTGGGTTGGTTCAAATAAACAGAGAACTGAAATCTGGGTCTTCCAACTCACCGATCGGGCGAATTTCATCTTTCGTATCATTCTGCACTGAAAGACGTAAATAGAAGATATCTCGCAATTTTCCCCAAGCAGGTAGTTGTCCTATGTTAAAATTAAAGCAGGGCTTATGTGCGTGGGAAAGAGCATGGTGTATTAGCGCACTATCGGCGACATCAAAATTCGTACGTTTTGATATCTTTATTTCAAATTCACTTACAGAAATCATCATCTAATGTGCGAAGTGGGAGGAGGGGGGGGGGGTAATACTATATTTTCTACCCCTGAACTTTCGATGACGTGGCGTTGACCTCTGCATAAATTAGCCATCGTTTATCGGAAACAGAAAACTGAGTGTGACATAAGGTCCGTATACCATTCTGGTCTGACATTGGGGCTCAACCAACTAGACCAGGGGTCGGCAAACTTTTGATACGCAAGAGCTAAAAGTTACAATTTACAAAATTTCCCAGTTTTTAAAGAGCCGCAATTTTTAGTTTGATTAGGGTTAGGTAAATAAATTTGATTTGTTATTTAATTTAAATAGCTTTAAATATGAAATAATATTTATTCATATAAAAGCATAGACATGTTTTGGCAGAATAGTAAAATTAGTAATCAAATAATATTATTCTAGGACTATCTCAATCCACTTTAGAAGCTGTTAATTTTAATTTATTTTTTCATTACGGATATCACCGGCTCAAGAGGTGTCTCCCATTAGCCAGTCAGGCCTCAACACGGCAAACGCCGACTAACTGGCTTGGATATCGGTTTGAATAACTTGCATCGTACGCTTCTATCCTTCGGTTTTTATCAGGCTTATCTTCCATCCCACTGAACGCAGGGTAAAGTCGTACCCCACCGTCCAGTAAAAATGTAATTATATAACTATTAATTTTTGTGCAAGGAGCTGAAGAGCCGCATGTGGACGTCAAAAGAGCCGCATGCAGCTCGCGAGCCGCAGGTTGCCGACCCCTGAACTAGACACAAGAAGTTGATTGCTCTAGTGAGATGCATATTTCTAATTAGTAATCTAACATAGGGGGGGGGGGCTTGGCCGCCCTATTGAGGCTTTCGTGTCGGACAGCCTTGCCTTGGAGCGTGTAAATTATTCCAGGTTTTCAGAAATTAGTCCTCACGATAAAATACAAAGCAAACTGTTCGGCTATGGACTCCAAAAACAAAGCAAACTGTTCGGCCATGGACTCCAAAATACAAAGCAAACTGTTCGGCCATGGACTCCAAAATTAGTATCTTCTAACAGGTAAACTGGGAAGATTGTGTAGCTTTTCTCATATTGGTATTTGTAAAAATATACAAATAAAATAGTATTTCTTTGCCCACTGACAAATCGACTGCGGGAATGTGGTTAAAAAACATTTATATTGTGTTTCATTCTTAGAAACGTCATTATAATTGAACTCTAAAGAAACAAATAAAACAAGTACAAAAATAATTATAATAAGGTTTTAACTGCAATAAAAAGTAGAAAATACCATAAATTGTCTTTAAATGTAATAAGAATATGGGTTAATCTCTCCCGAAACACTTTTACACAGTTAGGGGTAATTGTGAAAGTGGTTTTATTATGGTATATCTGCTGGTTAGTCTGATGGTAAGTCTAGTGGTTAGTCTGATGGTAAGTCTAGTGGTTAGGCCGATGGTAAGTCGGTGGTTAGGCCGATGGAAAGTCTAGTGGTTAGTCTGATGGTAAGTCGGTGGTTAGGCCGATGGTAAGTCGGTGGCTAGGCCGATGGAAAGTCTAGTGGTTAGTCTGATGGTAAGTCGGTGGTTAGGCCGATGGTAAGTCGGTGGCTAGGCCGATGGAAAGTCTAGTGGTTAGTCTGATGGTAAGTCGGTGGTTAGGCCGATGGTAAGTCGGTGGCTAGGCCGATGGTAAGTCTAGTGGTTAGTCTGATGGTAAGTCGGTGGTTAGGCCGATGGTAAGTCTGTGGTTTGGCCGATGGTAAGTCTGGTGGTTAGGCCGATGGTAAGTCTGGTGGTTAGGCCGATGGAAAGTCTAGTGGTTAGTCTGATGGTAAGTCGGTGGTTAGGCCGATGGTAAGTCGGTGGCTAGGCCGATGGAAAGTCTAGTGGTTAGTCTGATGGTAAGTCGGTGGTTAGGCCGATGGTAAGTCGGTGGCTAGGCCGATGGTAAGTCGGTGGCTAGGCCGATGGTAAGTCGGTGGCTAGGCCGATGGTAAGTCTGTTGGTCTAATTATAAATATGCTGGTAAGTCTCAAGATAAATCGTATGCTAAGTCTGACAGTGAAGTTGATACCAACTGTTATTTCTATGAGCAATGGAGCTAGGGATGAAAGTAAAAAACAGTAATTTTTGTAGGGGGGGGGGGCACGCGTCATCAAATGTTTAACAGATCAATCTTTTACGTCGAATCGATATTGTGTTTAAATTAACTTTAGTACCGATGAATTCTATAACAATAGCACGTTCTAAGTAATATAACAATAGCACTTTCTAAGTGCTATAATAATAGCACTTTCTAAGTACTATAACAATAGCACTTTCTAAGTACCATAACAATAGCACTTTCTAAATACTAGACAGTTTCATTTACAATGTACACTAACAGCTGTCCTTCTAAACATTATAAAAACTGCATTGCGAATGACTCTAACAGTTACACTTTCTATGGACTAGACAGTACTATGTACCATAACGTCATTGTCTATGCACTATAAAGCTGTGCTAAATATAAAGAAGAGTACCTACCCGTTTCTTTCTTCTCCAGTATCGGATCGCCCAGTACCAGCGTGAAGGATTCCGTCTTTTCGTATTCCTCATCATCAACAATCTTCACTCTGATGGTGTGCCTAAGGAGAGAGGTGGGACACGGGTCAGTTATGTGATGGGGAGGGGGAGTGGAGTGCACGGCTACCGACCCACAAGTCATGTTTTCGGTCAGCACCATGCCCAGCCGTCCTTACTGTAATCTGATAGAAGGGACTAGAGCTAGCTGGACTCTGGAACTGAACACGTAACTTTCAGGTCAGCAGTCGAGTATTCTATCTCTCGACCAAGTATTCAGGAGGGGGGGGGGGGTGGATTAAATCGTTAATAATAGAAAGTACAAATCCAATGGTTTCCAATAAATTGCACCTATTACACCTATTTACCCTAGAAGTTGAGCTATGTTATAGCAATCTATTACGAGACATATGTGTACAAAGTATTTACAAGGATTCTTTCAGTAGCCTCATGACTGGAGAATAGTATTGGACATCACGAGATGACCGGAATAACCAAAGTTATTTGGAAAACGATACAAATAATTTCTGCAAGTAATTGGATGTAATTTAAGCTTAATCAAGAACCACCCAGTTTCCCACAAGGATCTAGTATGCTGGTAGGTGTTCTCAAAAGTAGGACATTTACATTATTTGAATCTGTTCTGGATCAAAGCAAGTTCTAATGTACTAATGTAAGAGAAAATTCACTGGCATGCGCAGGCCTGGCCTTTAGCGCGTGTGCCACCCCCCCCCCACCCTGCCCGGTGACCATTTAGCGCGTGTGACCCCCCCCCCCCACCCTGCCCGGTGACCATTTAGCGCGTGTGCCCCCCCCCTTGCCTGGTGACCATTTAGTACGTGTGCCCCCCCCCCCATGCCCGGTCACCATTTAGCACGTGTGCCCCCCCCCCCCCCCCCCTGTCTAGTGACCACGGCTTGCCATCTCCGCTGGGACACAGAAAATCGCTACCAATCAGGTAACACTTCCGGTCGTTGGAGTTTTTATGTGACGGTCGGACAAACATGGCAGCGAGGAGCAGGGTGACCTTAACACTAGGCTTGATCCAACCGGCAGCCCCCCCCCCCTCCACACACACACACCTTCCCCGGAAACACACGCTCTCTTATCCCTAAGAGTATGATTCTAGAAGCAGAGCGAACCCCATACTCCACACTTCATTGCAAGAACACTCCCCTCCCCCCTCACACATTCAACACACATATGCTCAACCCGCACACCAGTCATTACTCGCGGCTGTGTAAGACCCCTCCTCCCCCACTCGACACTTATAGGCATCTTTCCCCCCCCCCCCCCCCCCCCCCCCAGAAGCAGCTGAGCTGTCTAGCGCACCAAGCTCCAGATACTTCACATGCCTCGGTTAAGAATCTCAAGACAAGTTGAGTATTTTGGAAATGCAACGGACAAAAAAGGTAAGTCAGCCCAAACCAGAAACAAAAAGTTGAGCTATTTTACAGCGATCCATAATGAGACATATTTGTGTCCTTGTACTGCTGTTGACTTCCCATCCAATCAAGGAGGATAAACAAAATATTTGCAAGGATTCTTCAAGTAGCCTCGTGACCGGAGAAGAGCATTGGACATCACGAGATGACCGGAAATCCCTCCCAACTACCCCCCCCCCCCCACCACACACACAAACTCCCCCATCCACCCTCACCGCTAGATTGCTTATCCTGGAATGTGATCCATTGACCCTTACATTTGGAAAGTGCTGGGGCTTTAAGGCATTACACACTGGACGTGGGGATTTAAACTCTGGAGGCACGACATTTGGCGACTTTCTTTGAGAATCACCTAATCCTCTTGGATTTAGAGCCGTGTGGATTAATTAACAAATGGGTTTGAACTCTTTCAGGTTTGTTTTATTTCATTTCACCCCTCAGACTTGAACAAAAATCATCTCAGCGGTTCTCAAAGTTTTATTTCATTTTACCCCTCAGACTTGAACAAAAACCCATCTCAGCGGTTCTCATAGTTTTATTTCATTACACCCCTCAGACTTTAACAAAAACTCATCTCAGCGGTTCTCAAAGTTTTATTTCATTACACCCCTCAGACTTTAACAAAAACTCATCTCAGCGGTTCTCAAAGTTTTATTTCATTACACCCCTCAGACTTAAACAAAAACCCATCTCAGCAGTTCTCAAAACAAAAGCCCAGTGGAGTGGTTCTCAAAATATAAACTCCCATAGAAAGTTCTCTGCAGCAACTGATAGAATATAGTTTATCCATTTTTAGCTTTGGTTTTAACTTATAAAAACAATTACATAAAACGTTGATGTTTTTATAATAAGTTATAATACTATCTCGCATTTAAAAAATCTGCTGGTTAGAATAAAATCACAAAAAAAAGAGTCAACACGGTATGAAATAAGTATTGAAGACAGGTCACTCGTAGTTTGATCTATCTCTAGTCAAGCTAAAAAGCGATGTTTTGATTTAGATGTACATTCTTAAGCAATATATTGGCTGCTGTGCGCTGAAATAGAAAACTATCGGCCAGCTAGTCTGCGCCTATCACACGTTTTTCGTACAAATAAAATTATAAAACCACTGCAGAAAAATTGAAATCAACCACAGCAACTTGTGCCAGACGAGATTTACATCTAGGTATAACTGGCATTTTTTCATCTTTCATTTCTGACGTCTGCTGCTTGATGGAAACGATTTCAATTTAGCTAAGAGTTGTCCTATCTTGATAAATTTAGCTAAGAGTTGTCCTCTCTTGCTCGAATGCAGAACAGAGGGCCGGAAATGGAAATGGCATAAACACAAACTGTCCACCAAGGACTTTATGGGCAGCAAGCAATAACGGTTATGTTATAACAAATGGGATTAAACTTGTGGCTTACAGTGTGGGGAGATGTCCAGTCAAGCGCTACATGAACACACGGACAGGACGAGTCGCGACAGGGGAGGAAAGTGTACACAAGAACTGGAGATGCGACTACACAACAGCAATACACACTAGTGCACGATAACTGGAGATATGACTACACAACAGCAATACACACTAGTACATGATCACATTATTTTCTACTCAGATCATACAAGTATCGTCTTGTTTTGTAATTCGATCCCTACAGTATCGTCTTGTTTTGTAATTCGATCCCTACAGTATCGTCGTGTTTCTGTACTCAGATTACCGCAGTATCGTCTTGTTTTGTAATTCGATCCCTACAGTATCGTCTTGTTTCTGTACTCAGATTACCACAGTATCGTCTTGTTTCTGTACTCAGATTACCACAGTATCGTCTTGTTTCTGTACTCAGATTACCACAGTATCGTCTTGTTTCTGTACTCAGATCATCACAGTATCGTCTTGTTTTGTAATTCGATTCCTACAGTATCGTCTTGTTTTGTAATTCGATTCCTACAGTATCGTCTTGTTTCTGTATTCAGATTACCAAAGTATCGTCTTGTTTTGTAATTAGATCCCTACAGTATCGTCTTGTTTTGTAATTAGATCCCTACAGTATCGTCTTGTTTCTGTACTCAGATTACCACAGTATCGTCTTGTTTCTGTACTCAGATCATCACAGTATCGTCTTGTTTTGTAATTCGATCCCTACAGTATCGTCTTGTTTTGTAATTCGATTCCTACAGTATCGTCTTGTTTCTGTATTCAGATTACCAAAGTATCGTCTTGTTTTGTAATTAGATCCCTACAGTATCGTCTTGTTTTGTAATTAGATCCCTACAGTATCGTCTTGTTTCTGTACTCAGATTACCACAGTATCGTCTTGTTTCTGTACTCAGATCATCACAGTATCGTCTTGTTTTGTAATTCGATCCCTACAGTATCGTCTTGTTTTGTAATTCGATTCCTACAGTATCGTCTTGTTTCTGTATTCAGATTACCAAAGTATCGTCTTGTTTTGTAATTAGATCCCTACAGTATCGTCTTGTTTTGTAATTAGATCCCTACAGTATCGTCTTGTTTCTGTACTCAGATTACCACAGTATCGTCTTGTTTCTGTACTCAGATCATCACAGTATCGTCTTGTTTTGTAATTCGATCCCTACAGTATCGTCTTGTTTTGTAATTCGATTCCTACAGTATCGTCTTGTTTCTGTATTCAGATTACCAAAGTATCGTCTTGTTTTGTAATTAGATCCCTACAGTATCGTCTTGTTTCTGTACTCAGATCACCATAGTATCGTCGTGTTTTTGTACCACGATCCCTACATTTAAGGTTGCCACTTTTTTAAAAAACCGATCACACGAGGGATGTACTGTTAGTCCAGCCTAAGACAACATGTACGTACCATGGAGATACCAAAATAATACTTTCTAGACCTAACGATCCATTGGGCAGATGAAGTAGATTTCATAATATGTTCAAGACCTCGGCATATGAAGGGAAGGTGTGGTCAGCACTTTGCCCAACCGCATTCACTTCCCTAACTCAGGGACTTGAAACCCAGATTTGAACGCGAGACTTTCAGGTTAGCAGCCTAGCGCTCTACCGCTTAGTCTACGCAGTATATGGGGATGATTAGCGATGAACCCAACCCTAACCGCACTGGTTTAGACAGACCTAGAAGTAAAACAAATGTGGCCAGACGGAGACCAGACGTTTTCCTCTTCTTCAGCTGGTCAATGAGAAATTAATGCCGGGTCCTCTAAGTGACTTACCCCCACCCCTTCACCCCACCCACAGGATATGTGGGTACCTCTCCGTAATATCCACACCCCACCCCAGGACAAGCTGATATCCCACCACCGTCCCTACACCCCCGCCCCAGTGTAGGTCGATACCCCACCAATCATGACGCTTGATGCGGGAAGTTACCCCAACTTAAGACCCGTGCAAATTTCCTGTCGACGTCTCAACGGCCCGCCAGCCACTTGGCATCAGTCTTCGATATCGATGTTCTTATCCACTAAACCATCACATCTCGTTAGTTTTTGACCAAGTCAAAACATATTAAAGAACTAGATCTAGATTCTAGCTCACAGTGTGCTGCTATTACAACATCGCTACCAAAACATCGATTTTACATTGAAACGAAAGAGTTATCTCTCCCTTCTCTACGCAATCCATCTAATTAAATCAGT